TTGTGGCAGGTGTCACACCTGCCACCGGAAGTGCCATGAGTAGGTGCGGAGCTCAACATGCTCCAAAACTGATTTGAACAGGCTATATGTTTTCAGATTCCATTTGGAAGTGTACCAAATAATAGATGCAACATAAAAACAGAGTTAAAGAAAGTTCCTATTTGGTCAGTGAGCTGAAAATGACATTTGTGGTGCTCCGAAGGTTTTCTGGAAGTTGGATTGGTGAAAACATGAAGCGGAGCTGTGTTAATTTGCAACTAGGTCTAGTGTTCAAATAAAGGTGATGGTGAGTGCCACACACTTCTTTGAGAATTTTACACTGGTTGATGTTGTGTCTTTATCTATGAAAACTGAAGCGAACACATCTCATAGTGACAATATTCAATAGGTGTTTTATGAGTTTATTTAATAGATATTTTCAGAGGAAAATGAAAGATGGAACCCTGCAATTTTTTTAAGCAGGCAAACTTTCAGCTGAAGAAGATGGAGCTCAGTGCAGTTAGTCACTTTTCTCTCACACCAAGCAAAAATAAATAATATTTTGGCTTTAAAATATTCTGTATATTAAAAATATTTTAAAATATTCTTTAAATTATTAAATAATACTATCTTNCTATNCTATGAATGTAGAGGAAGCCATAGAGTCAAAATATTCTTTATCACAATTAAGGACATAAAATGTAAATTTACTGCTCCATGTCCTGTTTTGGTACCAAAATACATTTTTAATTACTTCCGGTTATGGCGGCCAGGTGGAAGGACGTGCTTTCACCGCTCTGCTGGTCTTGTCAAAGAGTTTACTTAAAATACTTTCCTTTCAAAACGAACTAAACGGCCAGTGAGCGCGGGTGATCGGAATAATGCCTAAAGCAGCAAAAGCTTCCAAAGAAGTAAGTGAAAAAGCAAAACAACATAAACTGATGGATTATCATCTTCGAGGTGAAATGCTGAAAGCTAATGCTAGCTCACGCTCAGCTCCAAAGGCCGCTGCAGACAGAGAAGAGAACCCGAAGTCTCAAAGCAGCAAGGTGGATGAAATACTGTCTGTGGTTAATTCAATCCAAAAGGACTTCTCCTCTAGATTTGACGAAGTTCTGGACTCCATCGACAGTGTACGCAAAGAGATAAACGACTGTGCTCAGCGAATTACAGAAACCGAAACACGCATTTCTGATGCGGAGAATGAGACAGAAACGCTACGAGCTAAGGTGGATATGCTAGAGTCCAGGAAGAAAGACTTGGAAGATAAAGTTATAGATCTGGAGTCCAGGTCGAGACAAAACAACCTGAGGCTGGTCAACCTGCCGGAGGGAGCTGAAGGACAGAATCCATGTGAGTTCCTGGAAAAGTGGCTGCCGGAGACGAAGCTGGAGCGGTGACCGTGGAAAGAGCGCATCGAATTGGACCCCAGAGGGACAGCACCGCAACACCACGCACTTTAATAATGAGATTTCTCAACTACAAGGATAAACAGCTTATTCCTCTCGCATCAAGGGCTAATACTGACATTCGCTACCAGAATCATCAAGTCCGGTTCTACTCAGACACCACAGCGGGTCTGCTCCAGCTTCGGAAGCAATTTGACCCGATACGAACGGAGCTGCGTAAACTGGGATTGCGCCACGGGGTGGCTCACCCAGCCAAGCTGCTGGTGACTTATCCGGACCGAACTCATGCTTTCAAAACAGCGGCGGCTGCACGTGAGTTTCTAAAGAACATCCAGAAGAAAACCGACAGGTAACAAACCGGGAGGTAACAAAGGGCTGAACACCCATAAGGTTCTTAAATTAACAATTTGTGAATTCGTTTAACCTTGCTGTTGCACCTGAGTGAAGTTGCCCCCCCCCACACCTTTTTCAAATCAGACAAAATTGGTGTCAAACGTTTGTGCTACGTTTGTGCTGGAAACATTTCTTTATATCTTTAAAATGATAGCGGCACAAACGAAAATTTTTGCTGCACAAACCAGCACAAACATAGCACAAACCTTTGACACCAATGTTGTCTGATTTGAAGAAGGTGGGGGGGCCAACTTCACTCAGGTCAAAAAGGGTGTCAATCAACTTGGCTACGTTTGTGTTGGTTTGTGCAGCAAATATTTTCGTTTGTGCTGCTTTGGCTTTGAAGATATTAATGAAAGTGTAAAGGTCAAAAGGTCAACCAGCCCCCCCACTTTTACGAAATCAAACAAAATTGGTGTTAAACATTAGTGCTATGTTTGTGCTGGTTTGTGCTGCAAAAATTTTCGTTTGTGCCGCTGTCATTTTAAAGATATAAAGAAAGTTGGATTTCATAAAAGTGGGGGGGCTGGTTGACCTTTTGACCTTTACACTTTCATTAATATCTTCAAAGCCAAAGCAGCACAAACAAAAAATTTTGCTGCACAAGTCAACACAAACGTAGCCGAGTTGATTGACACCCATTTTGTCTGATTTGAAGAAGGTGGAGGGCTGGTTGACCTTGGATGACCTCTGGAAACATTTCTTTATATCTTTAAAATGATAGCGGCACAAACGAAAATTTTTGCTGCACAAACCAGCACAAACGTAGCACAAACGTTTGACACCAATTTTGTCTGATTTGAAGAAGGTGGGGGGCCAACTTCACTCAGGTTGCTGTTGCCTATATCGGTCAGTTGTATTGATAGTGGAACAGCAGTGGATCATTATGAATACATTTAGTTCTGCTTAGGCATGGCAAGAGTAAGCGTGCACATGCCAGTTGATGTGCATTTTCATAAGTTCAAACCCGTGTGCAAACATGTGGAAGGTTAAATTGTTATATATAGTGAACAGCAGCGGTGGTAAAAACTTTTGTTTTGGTTATTGAGTGGTAAGACTGCTCCTCACTGCGTGTTGGTCGGTCACACGCGATATCGGGAGGTGTACCTCCTTGGAGGTCGGTCGTGGTGCGGGAGTTCAGGTTTAGGGGATATGTTTCTTACATGTCGAAAGCTTTAAATCTTAAAATGATTAACTGCAGGGGCCTACAACGCTTAAAAAAGGTCTGCATGATTTGGATTCCAGAATAGTATTTCTACAGGAGACTCATCTTATGGAAGAGGATGAGGGGCGGGTCAGGAGGAGGTGGCGGGGTAATGTATTCACTTCAGCATTTTCTTCTGGAGTAAGAGTAGCAGTGGTGGGAAGTAACGAAGTACAAGTACTTTGTTACTGTACTTAAGTACATTTTTTGTGTATCTGTACTTTACT